CAACATAGATGAGTTTATTCAAATCTAATGGTTACGGGAGTGTTGCTGAGTGTTTAGACATGTAACTTGCATTTGAATCAATGAACATTTGCTCAGGAATTGTCTCCAGGGGTTGGAGAATGGAGTAATGAGACGATGGGTAGCAAAAACATTTAGTAGTGTCAGTTGGCTTTTGCAAAACTAACTTCTCCCAGATTTGGGGAAAAGGGAAATGTTTAAGGAACCTTGGAAGACACACATGTTTATAAACCATGCCAGTAGTTATGCTAATTTTTATAATTTTATTTCAGATGTTACTTTAAGCTTACCCCCTTTAAACAAAACAGGTAATATCAAGTGATTTCTAAATGTAATAGCTTCTTCTGCAGCCTCTTGAGTTTCTTGCTTGTGCGGTCTACTGGGTTACTAAAGAGTTTCTTTTGTCTCCTTGCCCTCTTTCCTGTGCCTTCAACCACTGATTTATGACCCCTTTTACTTTGACATTGAACTATAATTCTGTCACCACACTCCCAAACCTCCAAATGATGGCCATAGCACTCCATTTAAAATAGCATGTATTATTTTTGTGATTATAATAGTGATACATATTAGCTCATAAAAATGGAGAATGTAGAGAAATACAAAGAAGAAAATACAAATCATCTTTAATGTTACTTTCCTAAGACTATGACTGTTAACAATTTGGTCTATTTCCATTCAGTATCATTTATACATATATTTATATACATATACTCTTATATCCTTTGCAAAATACTCATAATTTACATAGATTTTTGTATCTTGCCCTTTTGACTTAATATTACATTAGAAGTATCTTCCAGTGTCCCTTACTATTATGACTTGATAATATTCCATTTTGTACCATATGTTGAACTTTAAAGTTGTTTCTATCTTTTTAATAGAAGTTATTGCAATGAACATTCTGGTGCCAACATCTTTGCATTCATTTCTTATTTCTGTAGGATACATTCCAGAGATTACAATATGCAAGGATTGCATTCTAAGGGTCATCAGTAAGACTATTGTAAGACCCTTGATACTACTGCTCAATTACCTTCTAGAAAGGTTGTGCCCAGCGACATTCCTGTCTGCAGTGGATGAGAATGTCTGTGTCACTGTACCTTTGCTGAGACTGTATCATATATTATTAAATCTTTCTCTCAACTCTTAGGTTTTATTTTTCATTCATGATTATTAGTGGAGTTAAACATTTTTACCCCAGAGCACTTTAGTTACCAAAACCAGAAGTTCATTTCACAGTTGTATTTTGCTTGCTCTGAAAAGGAAACTGTCAGGGCAAACAAAATAATATATTTAAAAGATTCTTAATGACAATGTGAAATGCTATCAGCCTTCATAATTGCCACCCACCATTGCTCATGGGCCACATATTGAAACCCGACAGTTTCAGAAACCTCATTTGTGTGTCTTTGTTACTGATGAGTTTCTGCCAGGATAACATCATCATTCTTAAGAGTGTCTCCAATCTCTGAGCTTGGCCTTTTCTTCAGAATTTGCCCATTCACCCTAGGTGACAGAGCTTCGATGCAAATCTATGCCCTGAACACAGCCTCTTTCCATTGGCCATTTTTATAGCAAAGATTTCTGTACCCAGTTCTCCATCATCTGGGGAATGAACCATGAGCTCTGTCCCCAAAATGTGTTTGGAAGACATTTCTAAAGTTTGCTCCTTCGGGGCATGTTAATATTTGCCTGTGAGTCACACACTTTGAACAGTCCTGGTTCTGCTGTGGGCATGTTATGTGACTGTATATAGGTGGATGATCTCGACTTCTCTGAGAATAGCATTCTCCATCGATACAATGGGGATAGTATTATGTTAACTCCTAAAGCAAGACACTTGATTGTATAATAGCAATACTTTACATCCCATGTGTACTGTTTCACATTAATTTTTATTCTGAATCTCCTGCTCTCTACAATCTATCAACTGAAGGTCCGATAGTGGCTTAATTCTACATATCTGAAGTGTAAGTCCACATCATTTGTCTTGCAGCAGTGCATGGAAACTAAAGTAGAATTACACAAGCAGTGGGATGTGTAATGGGTGTGATCTAACTGCGTAAACATGGAACTCCAACTCCCAGACTCACCCTGTGCCAATGCTATAGGATCCGTGGATGCGGTTCCTGTTCATTCTGTTGCTGAGATGACTGATAGTGTCTTAAAGGTGTCAACAGTGTGACTTTTTTTTTTAGCACTTCACTAAAATGATACTCATGGCAAATTGTTTTTTAAAAACAAGCAACAATTCTTCTCTAATATTTAAGTTGTTTCTTTGCAGAAAAAACTAAAATCACTATAGTAAAAACCTTCAATGCATCAGGTATGACTTATTATCAATATCAAGACTTTCTTTTTTTATAACTAAAGTAAAATTAAACAAATGGCTGGTGTTTATAATTTCTTTCTCTTTTTTCCAATCTTTTCAAGATAAAATCTGATCTTAATGAATAGATGTGTATGCACTGGGTACCTGAAATTGTTCTAGGTGTTTGGGGTTATATAGTAATGATCAGACACAGAGCCCACCCTCAAGAATCTTCTAGTCTATGGGTGGAGACAAGGCAAACAAATAGATAACTAACATGAACATGCATGCAGATAAAGGCAATGATTATACAAGTATTACTGACATGGTTAAGAGGCATAGGAGTAGAGGGAGATGCAATTAATGAAAAAGTTAGAGGAATGAACCTCAAATTTTGTTTTTCCTGAGACAAGGTCTCACTCCGTGGCCCAGGCTACAGTGCAGTGGCACGATCATAGCTCACTGCAGCCTCAACCTCCTTGGCTCAGGCAATCCTCCCACCTCCGCCTCCTGAGTAGCTGGGACTGCAGGCTTGTGCCATCAAGCCCTGCTAGTTTTTGTATTTTTTGTAGAAACAGGATTTTGCCACATTGCCCGGGCTGGTCTCAAACTCCTGGGCTCAAGTGATCTGCCTGCCTCAGCCTCCCAGAGTGCTAAGATTACAGGCCTGAGTCACTGCACCTGGCCAAATTCTTTTTAAATCCAAGAAAATGTGTACTTTTTAAGTTTCTGATACAAGACTACACACACAAGACATGCTTGACAAAGGCTTGATTTCAAGTAGGGGTTGGCAAACTATCACCAATGGGCCAAATCGGGCTCACTGCCTGTTTTTGTGAATAAAGTTTTATTGGAACACTACTATGCCCCTTTGCTTACATATTCTCTATAGCTATTTTTCTGCTGCATAAAACATGAGTAGTTGCAACAGAGACCATACGACCCACAAAGCTTAAATATTTACTATCTGACCCTCTAGAAAGTTTTCTCACTCATGATTTAAGGAATGACCTGTGGCCATGTACATAAAGGAGATTACAGATGAGAACCCTAGCAATAGGTAAAACAAATTATCAGTATGAATGAACAGCAAGAAGACACACATCACTGGAAATGGAGGTGCAGCTAAAATTTAGAAAAAGATTAGATGATCGAATGAAAAGTTTAGTAAGTAATACAGCAATGGTTTAAAGGACATTTAAAGCATAACTACCCATTATAGAATCTATAAATTCTATATTTGCATAGTATATATGTTATAGTGAGTTCTATCTATAAGCAAGTATATTTGCTTATAGACAGAAGAAGAAATGAAATCTTTCTCTTTTGGTGTGGGTAACACTGCTTTGGAACAATATAAAAATCTACAGATCTGGTAATTTGGGGTACCTAAATTTAATTTGCTCACAAAATCAAAACTCATAGCTACAGGCATCTTCGCTAAAGCATGATGCCTATATATCAATAAATCACACTAGTAGAAACCATATCACATGCACTAACTCAAATTATAATTTTAATTTGTACCCAAACTAGTTTTCTCATAGAAATGAACTAAGGATTCCTAATGTGCAATGGAAATAAACTAGCAATTGGGCATTGCACACATAATTCTGACCAAACAAGACCTAACAAGGAGACATAAATATTTCTTAAAATAACAAGTTTTTCCCTTGGCAGTTGGTTTAATACATTATCAGCATTTGCTCCTCCCATGTACTATGGATCTCTGATGCTTTGCCAAAAGGATGCAATTAATAAAGGAAGGCTTTTTAGAGAAGTAAACCTTGAGTTCTTTTCAAATTGAAGAAGAGATATACTTCTCCTCTCACCAAAGGAGAAAGTGTTTCTCAGGTTAATACATATAAAGTTTTGGTTCTGATGCTCATTTTATCTCCCAATCATCTCTGTCTCCTTTGTATGCCTGTGTGGTCTGTTGTCCTGGTCATCACTCCATTTTGCCCTCACTAATACATAAATTTAAAAATGCTTTTATTTACTGGCTAGTATCATCCACTAGATTGTAAGCTCCTTGAGGGCAGGATCTATATCTGGAAACTCCCAAAGCCTGTAGAATATGGTTAATGCTCAGCAAATATGTTTTGAATTTTGTAGATTTGCCCATGAAACAATATTATGACATTAATGTTATTTCATACATACATTTGCATAAAGAGCTAGGATTAACATTAGAGTGTTCATAGACTCTCCTACCTAGGAAAAGAAGGAGGATCTATGATTAAGGGCCATTCCATTTAAAGTCTCTACTTGGTTTGTGTTCATGGTGCTCTGTTTATACTGAACAGGAGAGGGATTAATTGGGAAGGAGACAAAAATTTTAGGGAGGAGTTGAGGGTCAGATATTGACATACTAAAGATTAGTAAAGAATTAAGTTCCATAGCTGACCAACCAACAAATGAAAACTCATTTCTTTAGTCTTTGTGGAATTCATCCAGCCAATTAAATCCAGCTTATAATATTGCTGGTCCATATTTGATGCCTACATTTATGAATTCTCTTGACATTGCAGCACATAAACACAAGCATTGACATGCTTAACCGGCTGGGTTGTGTTTTCTTTGCAGGCGTCAAACTCCAGAGAAATATCTGCAATTTGTCATCTATTTGCAATGACTCAGGTTAGTTCTTGTGTACATTATACATTACCAGATAAATTTCCTCCATAGAGATAAATGGTTTGCTTTCTTCTCTTTTGAGTATGTGGTATGTGCCTCTTGGATCTGCTTCTTTTCATGCCACCTGGCTACTAGGAGTCCCTAATAAAAACAAAACAAATTTTATATCTGGCTGAAATTATCTTCCCGTTGCCTAGTGAGAAGATGGATTAACTTCCTTAATATGAGACATAAAGCTCTATAATAAATATTTTTCATTATAGTTTTAAATCCATAACTAATACCCTTAGAATTAATTCATGAACATAATTAATAAAGACATTAATAATTATTGAAAGTCACTTCTTATATAGAAATCTGTCAAGCTTTTCCATAGGGCCTTAAGTATTAGAGCTTAGAAACAGGATAACGTCTTGCTAAGAATAAACAGATCAGCCTGTTGAATGTTGAAAACTCATGTACACCTAGTTTAAGTGGATGCTAATTCCAGCAGTGTCCATAGTGTATTTTGCCATCTCTAACTAAGACCATTTGCTATTTTTAAAAATTGAGATGGAAATCTCTTGAGAACATGCTATTTTTGAAATGGGAATATTTTCCCTTCTGCCATGGGCCAGACAGAATAAAACAACTTTTCTCACCTTGGTTTGGCTCCCTGGGCTCCCTTTCTTGTTAAAACCAATGAAAACAAATATGAAAAACAGAAAAATATGGTGTGGCAGGTCAGAATTGGCCAGAGATCATGAGAAGTGAGAAGAGGAAGTTAACTAGGTATTTTATGATATGAAAGTCTTATTGTGATTATAGTAATAAGCAATCATTACAGGAATGTTTTCTTTATTCCATTCCTTTTAACAGTTTAATAATTTGTGTGAAAAACATAGGTAACAATTTCAAGTAAAATAAGGTTGGATAAATTAGAAAACAAGAAAACATCCTATTAAAAAATGTTTCACAAACACTTTCTATTGTGTGAATACAAGATTTGCTTATTTTTCTGCTGATACTACATTCTAGGTAGAATATAGGAGGAAAATATTAGCTGGTGTTGATTAAAGGAAACAAAGTGTTGGATACATTTCATTTTCGTATATTGTATAACCCTCTTCTCTTTTCCTCCTCCTTCTCACCCTACTCTCTGAGTCTTCCGTTTACCGAATTCCCCATAATGTCATTATTTTTGTGCTTCATTTATGTTTTGGGCTGGTGACTAATGTCTAGTTCAGTGTTGTGTCTACATGATGTTTGATAACTGTTTGAAAATTGAACATGTAGTTTAAAAAAAAAAAAAAACTGGTCATCTTGAATAGCAGATGCCAGAAAGCTGGTTGGAGTAATGTTTTCCCCAATTAAGGGACTGAATTGACCATTGGTTTTAGTGTCGGTGAAAACAACCTCATCAGGGTTTTTGGCACCAGAAACCCCATGGTACCCTGCCAGAAACTAGAAACCTTCACTTCTTGCAGGTTCCAATCTGGGTTCATTAAGGAAAATGGAGGCTGACGAAGAAAATGGGAGCTGACCAAGAGTCAGGCTGATAGTCAGAAGGTGGTGGCTTCCTGGTTGCTCTGCTACCACTGTGCTCCCAGCACATTTATGAAACTCAACATTCATTCAATAAGCATGTGAGGCAGAGATGTTGTGGGTGTTGGCACCCACGTACACAAACACACAATTTAAATAATCCTTTAAAAGCTAAGATTTTAAAAAATGGATAAGTAATTCTATGCAGATATCAAATATCTTTTAATAATTACATACTGTATGAATTGAAATTTCAGTATCGATATGTGGAAACTGAGGTTCTCAGTAGAAGAGTTGCTGAAATAGATCATGTTAAACACTGGTCTAGTGCTTTCTTGGCCATTTTTAAGCAGGAATCAGTTGTTGTACTTTGGGGTACAATAAAAGATGATGAGAAGAGGAGGCCTTCTAGCTCAGGGGTTGGCAAACTATCAGCCATAGTCCAAATATGGCCTGTTTTTGTAAATAAAGTTTTATTGGAACACAGCCCATGCCTGTTCATTTATGTATTGTCTATGGCTGCTTTCACGCTACAATGGCAGAGTTGGGTAGTTATAACATAGACCATATGGCCTGCAAACCCTCAAATATTGACTACTTGCTCAATCACCAAAAACATTGGCTGAGCTCTGGCTCTAGTTTATGTGATATCCTTGCCCTATTGCTCACAAGGCCAGTTTGGGGTTCCTATAGATCAAGCTTGTTCAACCGCGGCCCATGGGCCACATGGAGCCCAGGACAGCTTTGAATGTGGCCCAACACAAACTCGTAAACTTTCATAAAACATTATGAGATTTATGCATGGCCCTTTTTTTTTTTTTTTTTTTTTTTTTTTTTTTTTTTTTTTTTTTAGCTCATCAGTTGTCGTTAGTGTATTTTATATGTGGCCCAAGACAATTCTTCTTTCAATGTGGCCCAGGGAAGCCAAAAGATTAGACACCCCTGCATATAGATTATGAAGTGCACACCATGTCTTTCTGTTTAGGAGTCTCTATTTTATTTGTTTCCAGATAGAGTCAAAGGCCCCAGGAATAAAATTTCTTAACAAGGGGGCAAGTTTTCTCTTTCTGAATTCCCACATAAAATTTACAGTTCATATTTTCTGAAAATTACATTGATAATAGTTGAGTAACTTACTGACAGAGTAACTGTGAATAAAAACAATTTGATGAAACCTTATAATTTGATAATATTTTTGTATGTGGTATTAATCCTCAAGCTATGAAGATACAAGTGTCAAATATCTTTTTGAAATTTTATTTTTAGCATTTTTTAGAGGTGAGATCATGTTTCAATATGATAGAGAAAGCACCATTCCCCAGGTAAGTTTTAAAGATTTTTCTTACTGCAATCTTAAAAGGCAAATTCACATGTATTTAAACATTTGTTTGAGGTTCAGATTATTTATGATATTTGGTATATTTATTGTTATGACCAAATTTAAATAAAATATGTTAATTGAGTCCCTAGCTTTGTAGAGAGGGCTTTAATTCATAATAATCATGGTATTTTGTTAATAACTATATTTTAGTTTTCAATAGGCTTGCTGCTGAATAAGAATGTTAAGATGATGCAGTTCTACTGCCAGTTAAAATTGTAAATTATATTAGAAACTCCTAGCAACAAGAAATATATGTATTGAATCTAAGAATAATATTCTGAATGTGATTCTCTTCGCCCCATGGGGGATTCTGATGCAGTGGTATCAGCCTTCCCAAGCCCTAGATTGGTTCAGAGGATCCCAGCCAAATGTGGTTCATTCATTCAATGACTATTTCTGAGTGCCTACTATGTGCCAGGCAATGAACTGGTTGCTAGAAATACAGCGATGGCTGCTATCAAGTTTTCCTTTTTACATTGGGGTCTGTTACTTAGATCCAGGACCTTTTGTGACGAATGTTGATAGTGTTCTTTGAGGGGAACTGTTGAAATGAAGAAAGACAGAAATCAGCACATCAGAGTTGCTGACTTAGAATACTTTTTAAAGAAAACATAGAACAAAAACAGGCTCAGCCAATACGGATTAACTTTTGAGAACCACTTTTTGCCCTCCCTTTTTTGTAAAACTGCAACTTGATCATTAGATAGACAATGTTCCTTGCATTTAGGAGTCAGTCTTTGGGGTATAGTTATTTGAGTGGCTGATAAAACTGAAGAACAACTTATTGTTAGAGAGTGAAAAAACAGTGTTTGTTATATTCTTAATGATTTTGTGCTTCTAACAGAATCAACATATAACAAATGGCACCTTAACTGGAGTCCTGTCTCTAAGTGAATTAAAGTGAGTAATCTGCCATTGGATTTGAAACTTCAGACATCAACTACGGAAGGATACTTTTTGAGTCATATTTGCTATTGAAAACTGAGAATGGGAAAGAGACCAGCCCAAAGGTTATAGAGCCAACTGATTCTTCACTTCCTTGCAGATTAACCATAATCACATCAACTATTATCCCCATGAGGATCGTTGATGCTCTGAAGTTATATAACAGCTTCATTTGAATTAGCATTTGAGTTTTAATGATTTGGTATCCAGCATGGTTGAAAGAGGAGTCCAAATATATGATTTGTTGATGCTTTCATGAAGCATCAGTGATTCATAAGTCAGAGAAAAGTCTTTGTTAAGTAGACCCAGGTTTACAAGGACAAGCACAGACAATGAGAAATGCATTACAAACAGATGCCCCTTGCCCAGGTGCAGTGGCTCACCCCCGTAATCCCAGCACTTTGGGAGGCCAAGGCAGGTGGATCACCTGAAGTCAGGAGTTCAAGACCAGCCTGGCAAATATGGTAAAACCCCATCTCTACTAAAAATACAAAAATTAGCTGGGCATGGTGGCGGGCGCCTGTAATCCCAGCTACTCGGGAATCTAGTTAAAGAATTCATCCCTGTTTGAGAACTACCGCCTTTGAGTACAGCTTTAGATTCCTCTCATCTAACTTCATGTGAAGCTCTGCCACTTTGGAAGAAATGGCGCGTGGTTGGAGTGCGATTGGAGGAGAGGAATGAGAGAATTTCCTAAAGGGGAGTTGTGTGAGGAGGAGAGAGCAGTGTTGGAGAGGGCCAGAGAGAGGGCAGGACAGGTCAGTGGGAGATAGGGTGGAAGAAATCGGGAGTTGTGAGGAGGGGAAGGCAGTGTTGGAGAGGGCCAGAGAGGGCAGGACCAGGTCAGTGGGAGATAGGGTAAGGAAGAAATCAGAGGCACAGGGTCCCCAGGGTAAGTGGCCTGCCCCTCTCAGAAATTTTTGCCTGGGGCCAGCTTTCCCTCTGACCCTCTGCCAGAAGAAACTGCCTGAGGTTGTAGTAGCCTCATGAATAACAAAATTGTCCAATCATAATTTATATCTCACTTTTGGCTAGAACTGACATAGCTCCCGTCTGGTTGGTTTCCCTTGTCATATAAATAATTTATTTTCTTGCCACATAGGACTCTCTTATACTCTCTGTTTCTTCAAAGTGAACACCATAAGCAACGTATACTATGTGCTTGATTTAATTGCTAAAATCTAACATGTTTTGAATTTAATATCACTGATGATCTCCTTAATGTCAATTTCTCTCATTTTGTTACAGACGCTCAGAGCTCAACAAAACTCTGCAAACCCTAAGTGAGGTA